AATGGGAGAGGAAGATTTGAATATACACAGATAATGCCATTAGCAGTTCATTTTGAAGGCCACATTGTATTTTTTTAACAACAACAACAACGTTAAAACAATTTCTAAACAATGTTGAAGAAAGATAGGGATATATTTAGAAGATGGATATTTCAGTTGCTGGCTACCCAAAAGTGACATAACAGTGCTATAATTTTAAATAGGATGAGGCTTTAATAGGTCTTCTAGAGGTAAAAAAAAGCTGTTTATTAGTAGAAATGTACTAAACTACCTGCATTTCACAAAGTGCTAATGGATGAAATTACTTCTAGAGAAACAAATGAAAATGTCAATTAAAAATAAGTAATGGCTGTCTGAGTTGTGGGTAGGTTTTTGGGGGGTCTGGGCTTTTTTTTGTTGTTGTTGTTCTTAAGAGAAGTGCTGGGTATATTCTTCTTACTGCTTGAAAAGCCTTTGGTTTGTGTCTGTTGCCTTAGTTCTGTGGGGTTCTGCCCCCTTCTGTATCTGCTGCATTGGAGCTGGATTTCATTTAGACTGGAGTCTAATTTAATACTGTACTCTAATGCTTCTTCTCTATTTTATTTTTCCTATATTTTACAGAGAATCTTCCAATGCAAATGTGTCCAACAGTACAGTGCCTGCATTTATCAGCTTTGAATTGCCTAATCTTCAGGTGACTGAGTAACAATTAATAAAAGCCCTTTATGGTGAGGAGAATGGGATTAGAATGGGTGCAAACTACTCATGAGACCTTGCTCCCTAATAAGAGGAAATAATTTTGAGTGCTAAAACAGATAATCTGGAAATCTAGAAAACTTTTCCAAAAAAGCCCTACAAATCTTTCAGTGTTCAAGACCTCCTTCTTGTAAGTCTGTTGGTAGTTGTGTGAAGCTGACAGCATCCATTGTTCTTCAAGCTGCTGTTGGAACTTAAACACGGTGGATGTGGAAGCTGGATGTGGCTGCTTGCCTTTTGGGTGAATGGAGCTGTAGCAACAGGTTCACATCTTAGGCCTTACATGCCTGGCCATAGAAAAGAGTTCTTGTGTTAGCCTTTCCATACCTGTGAGGTGGTGCAGCCCCTGGGCCACTCTGAGATCTCAGGATAAGCTCTGTTGTGCTGTTGTCTTGGTCTCAAGTGCAGTGACTTGGGGGCCAGAAACCCCTGTGGTCACAGCTGGGCCATCTGATGCCTGAATGATAGACCAGGACTGCCCTGAGAGCTCGGGATAAGCCATGTATGCTTTGGGGAAAAAACTCCCATTGCACAGTTATCTTGGTTGCAAGTGCAGTAGCTTGGGGCTGGGGTGGTCAGGCACCCCTTGGACATACTCCCTCCAGGACCACAGTGGGCTGTGTGACCTAGAATCCCCCCCTGAGCTGGGACACTTCTCAGGATAGATTTCGTGAAGATTGAAAAATAGTCCATTGATGACCTGACAAGGACAAAAAGGCCTGATTTTGCAAGGTTCACTGACTGTTGGTGAATGTCAGCACATAAAAGTAATTCATGAAACTCGCAAAAAAGTAAATTTTAGTCACAGGTCAACCTCTGCATGTGTGTGTGCAATTTGATTCAGAACTGGCTGTGTGTGTGTGATGTGATTGAAACCCCAACGGTGTGTGCAACCCTGCTGTAAATTTCAGGTGACCCTTGCCATTCTCAAATCTTTAAGGCACTCTTTTGATTGTAACAAATCCCATTTAATTGCTTGCTCTGTTAAATTGGCTGATGTTTAGGTGATACAATCCTTTAGACATAAACCGTTGACCAAGTCTGGGACTAGGATTGGATCCAGCCGCACCTAGACTCCTCACTGAGGAAGGAGTCTAGAAAGCAAGGGGGTCCTTTCTGAACCTCGTGACTAACGAGAGGGTCTCCCTGATAGTTTTGTCTAACCCTGTCCTCTATGCAGTAAATAATCAAGTGTCCCTTGCCATCGCAGCTTGCTAAACCACTGTCACATTTACCATGGATATCAATAAAGCGTATTTCTGCTTCTCTCTCACTCCATACATGACAAATTGGTGGTCGGCAGGATCCTAAATCCATATTCACGACAACATGCCAGTAATGTGACATCTTGTGTCAACATAGAATAGGAAGAGAAAGAAGTTCCTAGTAACTGTAGAATATTATTGAAGTGGAAATTCCCTCTTTACAATTTCCTAATGCAACCTGGCATTTCTACATGGTGACTGTTTATCATGAAGTAATAGATAATGTTAGGGTTTGCTTGGCAGCAAGCTTTCTGATAACTAATGTCTGTGTAAATGTTTCCCTTGCTTGAAAGGATATTACTGTGTTCAAATGGTAGCTGCAAAGAAGGCTTAATCAGAGCATTAAGGAAAAAAGCTTATGTACAGCATTAACAATGACGTGTTAGCCTGCAATGGCTTGTACAATGACCTAGACGGAAGAGCTGTGCGTTTTTAAGCAGTGAAATGTTTCGTTTTTAATGCTTTGTATATTTCCTTATGTTAGATGTTTGTCTAATTATTTGTTCTCACAGCAGAATAAGAACAGCTACTTGAGGATAATGTCTGGAAAAACAAGACACTAGAAGACAAGTTGCTGTGCTGAGGTAAGGAAGCCATCATTGAAGCAGCGAACATAGGGCGTTTGGTCTGCAAATAGGGACCGTGGAAGAGACTTTACTTCTGCCACTGCCTGTTCCAAACAGAAAAAGTGATTAAGTTTTAATTTAAGGACATCAAGCATTTATTTTCTGTCTGTAATCTCCAGAAGTTGAATACTGTAGTCCTACCAAAATATTGCCCCTATGAAAAGTTGCAAGATGAGATGCTGGAGCCAAATCAACTAATGGCAAGCAGTACGCAGAGTGTATTCAAGGCTTAATGGCCTTTTTTGGAAAGATTTGGAAGTGTGTTTTTAAATTTGTTGCTAACACTGAAACTGGCAAACCAAGATTGATCTCAAAGACGCTTTTTTAGTAATTTGCCTCCTGTTCATAGGTCTCCACCTCAGATTGTACTTAATTATGTAGTAGTTGGTTACTTTCACAGGGTGCTCTGGTGTTTGAATAGGAATTTTCCACATTTAGTAAGAGTCATCAGGAGTTATCTTAGCCTTTTAGCTGCCCACAGGAACCCAAAATGAATTGTGGTCACTTGATATTTTTTTCCCCCCTCTCTGCCCAACCCCTTGAGTCCACAAAAATGGATGAGGGCTCACTTGCTCTCTCTTTCATCAGCAGTTTGAACCTTTAGTGACATCTTGCTTTAAAGTCAGTCATATGTCGACAGAGAGTTACAAATATCAGCCTTGCTGGAGATACAAAAATGATGTCCTCAACATCAAAACATGTTTTCTTAAATGATAATTAGTGTCTCCATGGGTGGATTGTTTCATAATTTAACATAATATGAATTATTTTTCTTTACATAAACAAGATGAGGCACTGTGACCACAAGGACCTCTGCCATTTCAAATTAGTTAAGGCATCAGTATTCTAAATTAGCTAATTTTGGTAAAAAAAGTAATCAAACGGAATTTGTCATTTATGCTGGTAAAAAAGCACAGTCGTATTTTATTTTTTTAACTCTTTGCTTCATACAGTAATGTCCAGCAGCACACTATGGTTAAAAATCCTTCCCACAATTGTATTATATAAATGAGGATGAGTTTTCATGTGAGTTACACATGAGTGCCTCCACTTCATATGAATGAGAAATTGGGTAGAAGTTCTGAGTTGTTATTCAAAATAAGAAATGTTTGAAACAACATGCATTTCAAAGGAAATAAATAGATTTTATTTATTTTCCCACTAGCTTATATTTCAGGATGCCAAAAAATTTAATGTGTGTGCTAACTTAGACTACACTTGTCAAGGCAACAACTAATGAAATGCTGGACACACCTTCCAATTTCAGGCTAATGCAGGGAATTCTTAACTCACTGAAATGAGGCATGGGCTCGAAAAATTCAAAGAAGTATTACAGCGGCCATTTCCTCATTTCAACTAATGTTACGTTCACGAGAATGCCATCCAGACTATGGAGTAATAGTTATGCACAGAATTTGCTCATCTCTGACATTGCAATTTTCTTACTTTTGAAAACTTGCAAGGTGAGAACCAAAATAAATGTTTTCCATGTTTCAAATATAAAACTTGTAGAAGATTTTTCTTGTTCCTGTGAAGTTAATCACATTTGTCATCAAGTCTTTGGAGCACAAGGCTTATGAGGAGGGGCTGAGGGAACTGGAGAAGAGGAGGCTGAGGGGAGGCCTTATCGCCCTCTACAACTGCCTGAAAGGAGGCTGTAGCGAGGTGGGTGTTGGTCTCTTCTCCCTGGTAACAAGTGATACGACAAGAGGAAATAGCCTGAGGTTGCACCAGGGAAGATTTAGATTAGATACTAGGAAAAATTTCTTCACTGGAAGGGTTATCAGGCACTGGAACCGGCTGCCCAGGGAGGTGGTAGAGTCCCGATCCCTGGAGGTATTTAAAAGATGGGTAGATGAGATACGGTTGGACTTGATGATCTTAAAGGTCTTTTTCAACCAAATGATTGTATGTGTAATATACCTGGGGTTTTCTTCTTTACCATCTAGTTCAGCAGACAATAATAGAAAGCACATTACTTGGTGATTACCTGTCTTCAAACAGGTGGGACAGAAATCTAGGCCAGAGCCTACATAAGGTGTAGCTACACAACACTGTTAGCTCCCAAAATCCTATGCAGGATCAGCAGCCCAACTGTACTATCTCATGAAACTCCAAACTGAAGACAAGTCTGGTAATATTTTTATACATGAACATAACAAGATATTCTTAGAAATTACTAAATAAAGGACAAATTTGGGATATAAAGAAACCTTTATTTTTTTTAATTGAACTTTGTACTTAAGTCATATTTTCATGACAAAATGCCATAGAATTTCTTATGGCGAAATAACGCCTGAAAAAAAGTGAAACAATAATAATAATAATTAAAATTATGCTTATATAAACTTTTTTTTGTATATTAGTACACCGTCACTCTGAAAAGAAAATCTGAGAACACCATATACCACTACTATTAGCATTCTCATATTTGTGGAGACTTTCTCCCAAAGTTACGCTTCAATTTACTGAGCTTCATATATTTACTTAATATGCTATCCTTTAATAAACAGGCTTATTAAAAAACTGTTTAAGCTTTTCCTCCATTCAGCTTTACAGTACTGTGCCATAGCAGAGAGAGTATTCCATGCTGAGACTATCATCTCAGGTCCCTCTGCTGAATTTCTTTGGCCTTACAATTTTAAACTGACTGATTTAAGAGATTAAGTCATGGAGAGACTGTTCTTCCCTCTGTAAAACATACGCTAGCATCATCTCATTCTTGAAATTGTTAATTAGCTGTGATTACTAAATAGCTCGCAGCTATATAACACCAAATTTTAGAAGTGGCTCAAAAAATAGCAAAGTACACAGATTTTTTTTTTTTTTTAAAACCTGTAGCTGAACTAACAGGTGCTTAACTTCCAGTGAAACTGCCACTGGGTACTTGCTTATGTACCCACCTATTTCGAAGTAATCTAGGCTTAGATTTTTAGTTCTCATTTCCAAGAGGTTCCCTTGAAAAAAATGAGACTGATAAAATGTTCAACTAAGCAAAACCAGGCAGAGAATAAATAACTTTCTGACTCAAACATTACCTATGCTTAAGTTACTGTCATGGGATGGTAGGCTACATTCGGTCTGGTCCCTCTGCCGGTACAGCTGTTTCACTGCTGCAAGGAAATGCTACAGAGGTAATTTTAGAACCTCATGAGCCCCACAAATCAAGCTTGAAGGAGCCGCCTAGATAAACTGTTGTGACTAAAATGTGATGAAACTGACTCGTCAGCACAGCATTTAATCTCTCGCACCATATTTAAATATCTGTAATATCCTCTAGGGAATGGTGTTGTATGTGAGTATACATAAGAACGGCTGGAATGGATTACTTTTTCAGCCAGTGTTGTTTGTGTTCATCCCTCTCCAGGTGCTAAAGCAGCACTATTGCTATTTCTAGGTAATTGTGGCATAGATTATGTGCGCAACTAAATACTTAACACCAAGTATGTGTTAATTACATGAAGACCTTTTTTTTTTTATTATTTAACAGTAAACAAATCAGATACACTTGCTAAAAAAAGTAACTGGATTGCAGCACATAAATTTCTCTTTATGTAATTTGTTTTTAAAGATTTACTCCAGTGAAGAAAATACACTTTTTAGGGTTTTCAACGTTTAATATTGTATATTACAGTAAGGCACTCTTAAATTACATTTGGAAATCAAAGCTCTCACCTTGTCTAGGAATTAATGAAGTGACTTCTGATAACAGTATTCTGTACAGAATATTCTCCCCATGCAATAACTCCCAACTTCTGAAGCTACAGCAAGAATATATGCTAATCGAATGGTAGTTAAATTTAAAAAGCAATATAGTTGTTCCATGTTTAGTTTCTGTCAGTGGCATCTATCTTAGCTTCAGTTATAGACTTTTCATTATATAAAGCAAGGATATAACGGAAGTGGAAGCTGTGACTGCAAAACAGAATGTGCTTGCTCTCCCATTGCTGACGGCTCAGAAGAACTAAGCAAATAAGGTATGGGAAATGGGAGAAAATACGACCTCTAGGTAACAAGATCTGATCCAAGGGTTGCTAAAAGTCAGCAGGATTCTGTTGATTTCGGAGTTTTTGAGATTTGTTTTTACAGAGTAAAAAATGCCACATTTATATTGCCCAGAGTGTAACATAAATGACTAAATTTATTGATTTTTATAATACCCTCTCAAATGTAAAACTAAAATAGACTCAAGTTAAAGGGTTATCTAGAAGCTACAACTTTCACTCTTTGATACACTTTCTCCCTAATAAAGTTTTATCTAGGAGCAAAGTAAAAATTCTCAGAGCAGTTCTTCTCAATGATATATCATCGTATTAGTTCTGCTGTTCTTCGATATTCCTCATAGCTCTCATTTTCAAAAGGAGAGACATGTCAACAATTTTCTTGTTATTTAGGATAGTAAGAAATTGAGAGCTGTTCTGGGGCATGGTGCACAATCACAAACCTGTATCTTCCGCTTGGGGAAACTTTCTGAAACTATTTCTATTTGTCTAATATGGAAAAGATCGTATCATTTGCCATAGCCTAATTTTGCTTAGCAAGCATGTCTAGCAGCTCCTTCTCTATGCCTTGGCTGCTCAGTTCATTTAAACTGTAGTATCTGTGAACAATCTTTTCATCTGTGACGACAACCACTCGAAGCCCATGTGTATCTTCTCCCAGCTGACATCCTATTGCTGATGAAACCACCATTTCCAGTCCCCTGTAGAACCCTCCAGCATTCCTATGGCAATGTCCAGAAAATACAGCTTTAATGCCTGTTTAAAAAAAAAGAAAAAAAAAGAGAGTATGTATTTAGTTCACTGTTGCAGTTCATGTATAAAATGTGTTTATAGTAAAAGATGCTGCTGAGGTTATACGCTGAGGCTTACACAGCTGCTGGGGTTGTAAAGTTCTATAGCAAGTACAGCTACAGGCGTCATGTTTACCTTCATTTTTAATGGTTCATAAAAGTAAATCATTTACCTGAACTTGCATTTTAAACAAATAATTAGTAAACAGCAGTAAATAATTCTAATAGTAATAAATAATAAATTATTTGTAAAAACTTTGCTCCACTAGCTCTGTTTATGGTTACTGGACTCTGACTTCTTTATGCTTATTGCAAGGTGTGATTGTCATTTTGCTCCTCCTTCGGCTAGAAAAAAGGAACACTCTAGAGGAAGCAGATTAAAATTAGAAAAAAATTTCTGTAATTGATAACTGCCAAAAGAATGATGCTACCGAAACATGAGTTGAAAGCCAAAGATTGTGGAGCGGTATTTGTCAGTTAACACGCAGAAAATTCACTAAGGAGAGCTTAGACCTGTTTACCCAAGGCCGGTGACCTTCAAAAAAACCCCCACAAGACAAACAAATAAAAAACATAAATGAGAATTCGTAAGCTTTTCTCAAAGATATCGTGGAGTTAGCACAAATGGAACAGAGCCAGGTACATCAAAAAAACCCAATAAGCAGAAGAGGTTATGAGATAGATATAGTAAGGGGAAGAAAGATGAGAGCAGCCAAAAAAGGGAAGGTTGACAGCCTGCAAGAGGAGTCAGGCTTGGTAATGACATGAATTAACATTTACCTAGTATGGGGTACAGACAAGGCAGGTTTATTCTGATTTCCTCTGCATTTTTGATTACTTAAGGCTGGTTTGTTTCTTTTCATTTTTAAAAATAGACTATATTTTGGACTGTATTGGGGTAAAAAATTACTCCGTTATAAACTTGAAAAGAAATAATACATACATTTGGTCTGTCGCAGGAGACAACAATATGCTATAGCAAAAATTTCTGGGTAAGTTGCATGCAAGTATCATCCAAGCTTGGTCAGGAGTAGAAGAAAAGCTAAATGACTAGCAGCAGCAACAGGTAAAGAGGACAAACATACTTTGTGCTTAAGGCTTTATAATGTCCTTTGAAATCCTTGGCTGAATGACTGTCTAACAATGATTAGTCAAACGAACATTTTATATCCAACCATTCTTCCCCTTCTCTCAGAATACGGTAATTTATGAAAAAAAAATCAACTCACTTTGCAAACGCTATCTGATTTTGACCAACTTCTAAAAATGATCCATATGCCATGTCTGCCTTCCTGCCAAGCTCCTCAGTAGCTATGGGGGTTTTTTACAGAAATTTTGAAACAATTTCAAATTAAATGAAATGGTGTCATCCTCACCTCCAAACAAGTAATTTCTACTTTTTGTTTCTTCAGCTTTGCAAAAATAAACAAATAAATTGGCAGAAGCTGTAGTCACTAATCTGAATGGCCTTTCTGATTGTCAAATTCATGCTCCTAAATAGATTATTTTCCTCTCCCCATTTGATGTTTTATAACTTATCAAATGTTTTTATTATTACGAAATAATGAACCCTTGTTTAGTCAAAAAAGTAAAAAGTCATTTTGATGCTAAGTACTTCTCTTTCATGTCAAAGTGTGTAAAACCATTAACAACAGAGTTGAGAACCTAGCTTCTTCCTAAGAAGAACATACTATCATAGACAAGTATTTCACTTCCAGGTTATGCCAGCATCCTTCACCACTTAGCCATGATATACACTGTTGCTAGTTGCAGCTGGGCACCACAGTCAACAGCATTCCTAATTTGGCAAAAAATTATTCATCAGCTTTCTTGCTAATTTAAGATGGTAGATATTTTATTTTGAATGAAAATGTGGAGTTAATATAAATAGCCGATTTTACAAACAGGTTTTGGGATTAATTTTTGGCATGCTCAGTCTAAGATCCTTGGATTTCAGACTATTACAGCTTCCTGAAGCTACAGCTAATGCTATTTTATACTGTTGTGAAACAGAAAAATTACTGGACCAGATGGCTGAAAATACTGGGAATTTTGTTGTTTATCATCAAGTGCAAAAAGTGATTAATTTTATATTTTATTACACGAAGTGTTTAGATCTGGCATTGATTTATGATACTATTAATGATAATTTAAAAATTTTCAAACCCACCTAAAGGGTTTAGGTGTAATTGTTGAAATACAACAGGTTGTGTGAACATAAAACATAAACTAACATGCAAAGGTCTAAGCATGTGCCTGTTCCTGAGGAGGACAGCAGAGAAGAGTGAAGCTTAGCACACGTGGGTCAAGTGCCACTTCCTGTGGGCCCTGGGAGGAGCTCCCCGACGGCACTCCTTTCCTCTGCGCACAGCAAGTGTCTTGCTCACCCACCAGCCCAGGCTCAAAAAAGCTATCCTTAAATATGCAGCACTGATGATAATTACTTTTCCAACCATTGTTTTTATCATTATGGACTAATGAGCAAGCCTATGAAGATACACAGGGACGGCCACTGTGATGACAACACCAAATTCAATTTGTTATTTTTCATATATTCCAGAAATTTGCCGTTCCATGCTTAACACAAAAGGTAACGCATGCTGAGTCCTGTTCAAGTGTTAGGCCAGAGAATGGGTATTTTGTGAGATACTATAACCTTAAATAACATATATATATATAAAAAAAAAAGCTAGCAACAACTGATTTTGCCTTCAGACAGCAGAAATTCTGGAAGAGAGTAGAGGCAATTTAAAAGCAGAGAGCTGCGATTAGGAACACACAGCAACTTCAATAGGAAATCCTTATTTTTCTAGCCAGAAAAACCTTCCATCCTTTCTCCTGCAGTAGATTTTAGACCTTTTTCACAGTGATTAAATGCAAAGGGAAGTAGGTGAACCTGTCAGGAACCAACAGCAGTTGGCTACATCAGTCCTTTTCTTTTGTGGGAGTGATGTGAAAACTGATATAAAAATATATAAACTAGACTCAATAGTTAAAAATTAAGTAGCTTGGAAAGCAAAATATAAATTATTCTGCTGTGTGCCTGGTAAAAGCTACACAGGCTTTCATATTTCAAAATCCAAACCCTTCTCAAATAGCAAATGAGGTGGAAAATGGAGAATGAAATTACCCTTACATTGAATAGCGGTATATGGTCGTTGTCAGCTAGAACCTGTCTGTTAGCCTATTTTAGTTTATCAGTACTAATTCTCTTTGCTCAGTCTAATGTGTTCATCTATCTGATGTATGAGTTACACTTGTAAGTCAGCATAACAACTGAGCTGCAAGAACCTAGCAAAACAGTTCAGTGTTTAGTTTGGTTTTGGGGTTTGTTTTTTTTTTTAAATCTTGGGAGAAACCCAATCAGAATACCTCAGAATGTGATGGCGGAATGTAAAAGCCCTGTGACATAATGGGCTCTTGCAGAGATTTTGTACCTTCCAGATATATTTGGGTCCTCAAAAATCATCATATAGAGATGTTTTACAACTGATGCTACAGGCAGTTTGAGAGTGAGCAGTCACTTCTCAAGTCCTACCATGTTGCAGATTATTATAGTAACTGTCTAACATAACATACTTAAGCAATTCAAGCATCAGAGCTCGCTCTTTCTTCCTCCTTATATGCACACCTATCCAAACCACAAGGCTGCACTTGCCTCCTCCACCCACACCTTCCCCCCCGCCCCCCACCTTTCTGCAGTGACGGACAGAATGTGCTCAGCTAGAGCTGGCTATGGTGTGGCTGGGCATTTGCTTGCTTCTTCATACAGAGAGCAAAAGGAACAGTGTAGGAACTTTTCGTATGACATCCTACTTGTTAAAGTGGAACCCATCTTGCCTTGTGGCATTGTCCTTAAAAGAGCAAGCTCTGATGAGCTAGGAGAGGATGCTGAGTAGATGATACTGCAGCCTCTGAGCTAAGACACGCCACACGTAATGTTACCAATTTGCTTTCAGCTTAGAGCTGCCCATAATGGATCCACATATGTAGCACTTTCCTGTCCTTTAAGCACTTAACCAATGGTCTCCAGCAACATCCTGGAGTCCATTCTCAGGCACATATCTAGCATGGACCTTGGTCTTTCCCTGCAGAGTTAAGCAGCAGCTAAATGAAGGATCAAGGATTGAACATTCAGCAACCTAACGTTTGTCCTGCTTGATTACTGCACCAGCTAGATCTGTAAAATACCCACCAGCTTCCAGGCAGCGACAGTAACAAGTTCTTTTCAGTATTTTCTGCCTTTTCTGCAGGTAAGCAAAACTAGCTATGAAAAAGGTAGGAAAAAGTAACAATCATAAAACCATAAAGAGGTCTAAACCCATGTGACACCCTTTTAGTAAAGGAAGTAATTTGTAAGGGAAATAGGTTCTCTCTTTTTATCAGAAGCATCCATGTTCTTAATGTAGCATCTTCCCACCATCCAGAGAATTTAACCTTTGGAATTAAAAGAGGAACAGAAGCCAAAACTTTTTGTCATCATATATGTAAACTAACCCCCAACACACAGTTTCAGTGTAATTAGAAGGACAGAGGATACAAAAGTAATAAAGCAACTTTAGTTATGCTGTAAGAAAACCAAAAATATCCCCTTGTCTGAGAACTCAAGGACAGATTTTGAGAAACCCATCCTGGACAGCCGACAGACACCAGGTAAAAAGTTGGCCCCACAAATCATGCAGCTTTCTTCTTCTTAAGCAAATACTGCAACTTCACCACAACTACATTTAACGTCTGCTAACTGCCTACACTCAAGAAGGTATTTCAGTATGGAACTGAAATAGGAGTGATTTGTAAGCAGTACAAATATGATACCTGACAACAGAGAGGATGTGATTTAAAACCTCTTTTATCTGCTGTTGGCTATGGGAGGCAGATTCTGCCTAAACAAGCTGGTGTTTATGGGTACTGTTCATCCAAATCCCCCCCATACGTATGTCATTCAGACCCTAATTGCACTAGACG